CATCTCTCATATGCTGAGGTGCCACACCATTAAGACTAGTGTGAATGTCACAACGGAAAAGTTTGTCCAAAGTCCACAAGTTTGGTGTCTACGGACTCGGCTGTTCACGCTGAGTAACATATGTTCAGGCCCCAAGCCTTCTGAATCGCTCCCTTTCGAAGGCCCGCGCATGGGGCGGTCTCTCATATGCTGGGGGTGCCACACGGTTAATTCTGTGTTAATAGTTTCCAAAAAAGTTTCTCAAAGTCCACAAAGTTTTGGTGTCTACGGACTCGGCTCGTCACGCTGAGTAACATATGTCAGCCCCAGGCTTCTAAGTCGCTCCCTTCGGAAGGGATGCCTCGTTAAACGTCTCCGAGGCCCGCTTGCTGCGACGAAAAATTTTGTCAAAAGTCCACAAATTGGGTGTCTACGGACTCGGCTCGTCACGCTGAGTAACATATGTCAGCCCCAGCCTTCTGAGTCGCTCCCTTCCGAAGGGCCGCCATGGGTCATCTCTCATATGCTGAGGTGCCACACCATTAAGACTAGTGTGAATGTCAAACGGAAAAGTTTGTCCAAAGTCCACAAGTTTGGTGTCTACGGACTCGGCTCGTCACCACTGAGTAACATATGTCAGCCCCAGCCTTCTGAATCGCTCCCTTCCGAAGGGCCGCCATGGGCGGTCTCTCATATGCTGCCGGGGACACGGTTAAATTCTGTGTTTTAATAATTTCCAAAAAATTTTCTCGAAAGTCCACAAATTTGGTGTCTACGGACTCGGCTCGTCACGCTGAGTAACATATGTCAGCCCCAGGCTTCTAAGTGCTCCCTTCGGAAGGGATGCCTCGTTAAACGTCTCCGAGGCCCGCTTGCTGCGACGAAAAATTTTGTCAAAAGTCCACAAATTGGGTGTCTACGGACTCGGCTTGTCACGCTGAGTAACATATGTCAGCCCCAGCTTCTGAGTCGCTCCCTTCCGAAGGGCCGCCATGGGTCATCTCTCATATGCTGAGGTGCCACACCATTAAGACTAGTGTGAATGTCACAACGGAAAAGTTTGTCCAAAGTCCACAAGTTTGGTGTCTACGGACTTGGCTCGTCACGCTGAGTAACATATGTCAGCCCAGCCTTCTGAGTCGCTCCTTCCGAAGGGCCGCCATGGGCGGTCTCTCATATGCTGCCGGGGGACATGGTTAAATTCTGTTTTAATAATTTCCAAAAAATTTTTCTCGAAAGTCCACAAATTTGGTGTCTACGGACTCGGCTCGTCACGCTGAGTAACATATGTCAGCCCCAGGCTTCTAAGTCACTCCTTCGGAAGGGATGCCTTGTTAAACGTCTCCGAGGCCCGCTTGCTGCGACGAAAAAATTTGTCAAAAGTCCACAAATTGGGTGTCTACGGACTCGGCTCATCACGCTGAGTAACATATGTCAGCCCCAGCCTTCTGAGTCGCTCCCTTCCGAAGGGCCGCCATGGGTCATCTCTCATATGCTGAGGTGCCACACCATTAAGACTAGTGTGAATGTCACAACGGAAAAGTTTGTCCAAAGTCCACAAGTTTGGTGTCTACGGACTCGGCTCGTCACGCTGAGTAACATATGTCAGCCCCAGCCTTCTGAATCGCTCCCTTCTGAAGGGCCGGGGGGGCCGGCAGGCGGCTAGCTCTGCTTGCTGGGCGCAATGGCTGTGCCGGGGGGGGGGGCCGCGGCGGGCCGGTGGGCCAGTGGGCCGGTGGGCGGCTAGCTCTGCTTGCTGGGCGCAATGCCTGTGCCGGGGGGGGGGGGGGGGTTGACCGCTGAGTAACATATGTCAGCCCTAGGCTTCTAAGTCGCTCACTTCGGAAGGGATGCCTCGTTAAATGTCTCCGAGGCCCGCTTGTTGCGACGAAAAATTTTGTCAAAAGTCTACAAATTGGGTGTCATGGACTCGGCTCGTCACGCTGAGTAACATATTTCAGCCCCAGCCTTCTGAGTCGCTCCCTTCCAAAGGGCCGCCATGGGTCATCTCTCATATGCTGAGGTGCCACACCAGCGGTCCCCAAACTTTTTTCAGTGGGGGCCACATCAACTTTCCTTTATAGCAGGCGAGGTCCCCTTTCCATTCTGTGTCGATCAGCTCTGGGACAGTTTTTCCCTTTGTCAGGAGAAAGGCATTGATTTCGGGTAGCAGGTTGTAAAAACGCTTCAAAACTCTGCCCCGGCTTAACCAGCGGACTTCAGTGTGGTAAAGCACGTCTCCGTGGGCTGATTCTAGCTCGGAGAGAAAGGCTTGGAACTGCCTGTGTTTAAGTCCGTTTGCTCTGATGAAGTTTATGCAGGACACAACCACCTTCATGACAGATTCCCACCTCAGAACTTTGCAGCTTGACGCTGGCTCGGTCACGATCAAAGTCACGTCAGAATATACCATTGTGTGAGGAGGTGAAGATGAGCCACTATTAACTATAAATAGCTCATAACTATGGTCAATTTTAATTAGAATGCCAACCTTTAAGTACGGATATGTTATGATGTTATGATAGGAAAATGCAATTTAATAAAAATTGGTTGATGTTTAGAGGGATTGTCTGGGATCGTTAAGTGGGCCACCCCAATTGCTTTGGCGGGCCGGATGTGGCCCGCGGGCCGTAGTTTGGGGACCCCTGCTTTACCCTGTGTTGTGGATTCTCTAGTAGCAATGCAGGTATGTAAGCATAAAGAGCTGGTTAAATCTGCCTTCACTGTGTCTGATGTAACTCGTTGATTATGAGTGCCAGCAGGAGAACTGAACTGCTGTTGAAATCATGTCAAAATTGTATCTTTCCAGAACATTGTCATTCCCTGTGCTATTGCTTCATTTAGATGGAGCACCTCAGTTTGCTGTGCAGTGATGCATGGTTTGTTTGAAAATGTTTTCTGCTGGGTGGTATAACTATTATTACCCCTGGCTTTACAAAAGCATGGTGACTACCTGCTTAGTGCTGATTTACTGTCACTAAGTGAAAAACAGGCATCAATCAAAACACAGCAGACTCATGTATTATGGTCTCATTTACAGCATCACGGGTGGTGGCTCCAAGAAGGATGATGGAGAGAAGAAGAAAGAAGATGTTCTAAATATATTTTCTGTGGCCTCAGGCCATCTGTATGAGCGCTTTCTGAGGTGAGTCGCGTTCAGTTCACAAACACTCTCACACACTTACTTTCCAGGTCCTACACATTACATTCCTTTTAGTCCTCTAGTCCTGAGACTCAGCTCTCAATCTTTCTGTCTCTATTTCAGAATAATGATGCTGTCTGTCCTTCGGCATACCAAAACACCTGTCAAGTTCTGGTTCCTCAAGAATTACCTCTCCCCATCTTTCAAGGTACTTTCCTAGCTTCATGACTACAGACGAGCATTCTGTTTTTCCTGCTTATTCAAAATAATGCGATCCCAGGTCTTCAGAGATTTACTTATTCAAAGTAAAGAAAATGTCTGTAGGTTGTTCCTGGCTCTGTGATGGCATGTGTTAATCTCAGGTTTCGTGTGTCAGGGGTGAAAATGCATTCAGTGCCCTCTGAGTTGAGTCACAAAAATAGCAAATGAAAATGCCAGAGGGAGGTGAAGCCAGACAACTTGCATTTTTTATGTTAATGAAATCTTTAGTGAATAAAGTTTCATTTGTATTGTATTGCCTTATCTGCCTTTTCACGCTTGTAACATAGCCGCCTGTCAATGGCTGTCCCTCTGCTAGGCCACAAAAAGGAACCAGCATCATCTGTTTTCTTCTGTGCAAGATTGTTTCATCTGACACTGGCATTTACACTTTCCTCTCCAAATAAATCTAATTCTCAATTGTCTGTAATGAAGGCAATACCCCACAGTATAGCACTCTGTTGCACAATGCTTTGCATAAATTTAAGTGCAGTATAGTTGATTGAATTTAGCTAATTTTGCAAATGGTTAGTCACACAGAAAACATGCTCTTGTATTTGATTTTTTTGACCACTGGTGTTTTGTTTTCAATGCGGTTAGGAGACCATATCTCACATGGCAGAGTCGTATGGCTTCCAATATGAATTAGTGCAGTACAAATGGCCCCGTTGGCTCCACCAGCAGACTGAGAAGCAACGCATTATCTGGGGATACAAGATCCTTTTCCTGGATGTTCTGTTCCCCTTGGCTGTGGACAAGATCATCTTTGTGGATGCCGACCAGGTAAGGATCAAATTGGACCGACAGGAAAGAGCAATGTGTCATTGTGTGGCTGAAAGTGAGAGAGTTGTCTGGATCAGTCTCAGTGCTGGTGTGAAGATTGGATGAGATTTTAAACACTGTTTGTCGTCAATCCTCTCTACCTTTACCGATGTTCTTGCTCTCTCTCTCAGATAGTTCGGGCTGATCTGAAGGAGTTGAGGGATTTAAACCTGGAAGGTGCTCCTTATGGGTTCACACCGTTTTGTGATAGCCGCCGAGAGATGGAAGGCTATCGCTTTTGGAAAACCGGCTATTGGGCCTCACATCTGGGACACAGAAAATACCACATCAGGTACACTTCCATAGCAAACTGTGAAATGTATTATAGCAGCAACAACTGCGCTGAAACCCTGGTAAGGAATTCTGATAATATACTATATTTGTGTGTAGTTTTAAAACATCATCTTATTCAGGTAATAGAATTTAACCAATCCACCAGAAGTTTCTTGATTGTTAGATAATTAAAATTATCCTCCCCAGATTCCCCTGCACAAGCTGGATCAAATGATATTGAATTCTACCATATCGGATCATACACTATTTGAATTTAAAAAGTTCAAAGCTGTTTTACCTCATCAATTATAGTTACAATTCTAACAGCTATATTTTAGTATCTAGTATTTAGTATTTATTATATACAACCATGATACATATTAAATCAAGCACTAGAGAAGTCATGACTATTAATCAGGTCTTTGCTGGAGGTATGGAGTTCTACATCTGTCAGTGTGATGGCTGATCAGATGGCAGAGCTGCCAGGGAGACTTTCTACTTTACTTCTACCTCACCACTGCACTGGCTGATGATGATGGAAATGAGACAGAGGACAAAGTCAGAAAACCATATTGACTTGATAGGATGCCAGTATGCTGGTCAGCTCTGTGGTGCAGGACAACATCAGCGAGGGTGAGAGATGATCCATATCAGTGCGCCCAGGGAAAACATGAGATAGGGAATGTCCTCTGGCAGACTTAAATCTAATAAGGGATGAGTGAAATTACAAGTCTACACATTTGGGTTTATTAATATGCCATGTTAGGTACAATTATCTGCATGTGCCTGAGGTATTTTATCTAAATTGAGTCATTTAAAAAAAAAAAAAAAAATGAAGTCACTCCTACAGGCTTTCTCTTTCAGGAAATGGTTTTTCTCACACCTGCTTTTTATGTCTCCTCTCTCTTTTCTCCCATATTTCAACCAGCGCTCTGTTTGTAGTAGATTTAAAGAAGTTCCGAAAGATCGCAGCAGGGGACAGATTACGAGGCCAGTACCAAGCCTTGAGCCAAGACCCTAACAGTCTGTCCAACCTGGACCAGGTCAGACATAACACCACTGCATTATATGATGCAGAGTTTGTTCTTCCAGCGCCCACTACTATACTTTGTTCATATATCATATGTCTAATACACCTCAATTTTTTGTTTTATAATGTTTCTAGGACCTTCCCAACAACATGATCCACCAGGTGGCCATTAAGTCTCTTCCTCAGGAGTGGCTGTGGTGTGAGACATGGTGTGATGACGTCTCCAAAGTCACAGCAAAGACTATAGACCTGGTGAGTGTCAGAGCAGTTAGATCTGTCTATGCAGTGTGGGGAAGCTAATCAGTAATTCATCATCAAATCTAATTGTGTCTTTTATTAAGATAGTGCAATCCGTATGTATTATTTAATTGAATCATTCTTTTGCCTGTGGAAACATGCTGATAAGAGGAATAATATTGGTATACCACCTTTTTTTTTCCAGCTGTGGTGGTTATAATAGTGAACTGCAGCTGCTGCAGCGCTGAAAAGTCAGAGCATACTCCCAGCCACTGATGTCCATGAGGCACTTGGCATTTAGGAAACAACTGAGGAGCAATCCTGTAGTCTCCTAAACTAATTTAGAGAATTACTGGGCAGGCTCCAGTAGACTGAAATAGGAAGCATTGTCTCATTGTGGTATAGGACACCACTTGGTAATTCAGACACTAGACATAGGCTAACGTCCTTTTAACAGAATTGGAAATCAAATTAGGTTCAAGTGCCTGCCACAGACAGTGCTGGCCATGACAATCTGACTTGTTGGGAGAAAGTGGCTCTGGCGACATGAGTGATGTTTTGTCTGCTTTTCTGCTGCAGTGCAATAACCCAAAGACCAAGGAGCCCAAGCTAATGGCCGCAGCAAGGATTGTGCCTGAGTGGGTTGAATATGACAATGAGATAAAACAGCTACTGAGACAGGTCCAGGAACAGGGAGACCCAGCGAAGGAAAAACAGACTCCCACTCCCTCACAGCATAAAAAAGGTTAATAAAGAAAAATGCTATTTATTCTCTGTGCTTTCAATGTTTGTCCATTTTTATAGACAGAAAAGTCAAACTGTAAGGCATGGTCAGTCATTTTCTTTGGTCAATTTGGTTTCTTTCTAACCTCTGTGCTCATTTTTCTAATGTCTGTCCTACATTTCCCCTCTCTGCACAGTAGACAACCTGCGTGATGAACTTTAGCGTCTGCCAGCACTATGCTGGAGACGAAGGAGGCAGCACCTTTTGCACGCAGGCCACCTGTGAAGCTTGAAGACAGACAATTCCATCTAAACATAGCCATGGAGTGTTACATCCACAGCGGCACAGCCGGAGAAGGATGTCATACTTTCAGAGATGCCATGGCTGCTTCTGCAGTCAGTACGTCTTACAAAATCAACACGTGATGTAAGTGTTAACTGCCAGCTGTGAACTCCTGGTGCACTATCAGCACTACAGTCAGGTCTTGTTAGTACGTGGTTACCGGAAAATGAAGTGACCACAGAAAGAGTAAACGGTCAGTCAAACCACTCAATTCGGTGTGTATGTGAGGAAAACAAGCTGCACTGATAATGTATGCAGAATCAAGAATCAAATGGAGAAGGCACATTTCTAAGAATCTATTCTCAAATCTTAATGTTTGTTTATGTACACCTTTTTCAAAAAGCTAATACATGTACATATTCTTAATTTGACTTTGTAAACATGACTATGCGATGACTAAAATGCCCATACCAAAGTTGTGACTGAAGTAAAGCTTGATTTATTTTTAAAATTACACCTTGATTTAAAGTTGTTACATGAGAACAGTAGTTAGCACTGATAGTTTACCATTTGCTAAACCCCGCCCCTGAACAGCTATTATCCAATTATAGCTTAGCACCTAAAACTAGGCATGGCAGGCCTGTCAGTCTTTGGATTTCTCCACCTGTTTCTCCTCCTGGAGGGTGGTGTATTTTTTTTTTTTAGCCTTTGCAAAACCAAAAACAGTGGCAGTAACCTAAATTTATCTCCAAACGCAAGGGGCTTATCATTGGCTAACTACATTATTCTGTGTGGATTATATGTTATTTTACACCTCAGGCTATATCTATACACGCTTTCTATTGTTACCACCTGAGCCAACCATGGGTTATGTTACAATAAATAACATTTTTAATCATAATACTGGCACTAACCATCTATACCTGCCATACAACAGACAACAGTGCTTCTCCTTTATGTCAGTGTTTACTGCATTGATCATCAACTGGTGAAGATGCAAACTTTTTGCCTTGTCTTTTATCATTAACGTCTTATCATGCAGCTTATGCAGCCATTGTGTCCACATTTAAGAGCCATTCACAGTACAGTCATTAGCTGGAAATGCACCACGCTGCAATGGAAAGCTTGATAAGCACAGCTGCAGTAACTACAGGGAGGCGTGGCCTAACCAACAGTCACCTGTCTATTTACCTGCCAAGTATATGACACTATATCAAATATGATTTAGAAGACCAAGCTAGGCTTTATTATTGTCAAATTATGGGACGAAGAATCCTCATTTGCACACTACAGGCCATGGTTTGTGTAGAATATAGGATTTTAACTTATTTCAGTATGTTTACATCTTATGTACATTCAGCTCCACTGTATTACATTTTTGGAAAGAATTTTTCAATATTTTAATTCCTCAGTGAACCAGTGTTTTGTCTCAGGAATAAGATAGGTGTTACTGCTCAACTGAAGCAAATAGCAGTTTTAAAAATGGGTGCAGAAGTCTGCTCTCAGGGCACCCATCTTTCACTGTGCTGTGTCAAAAAGAAATGTTTATATTACTGTCTGGTGGGAAAAATAAATCTTTGCTACAGAACTGTCATTACAAAAGCATTCTGTGAATTCGCCTGTAAGTGGATGTGTTGTTCGTGTTTTGAATTGTCTACAGTGAAGGGATTGTGTAATTTGTTCAATGTGAAAATGCATCAACTGGGAAGAAAAGCTGTTAAGATAGTTGCAATTATTGAAAGGTCAGATGTAATGAAGTACCATTACTATGTGCCATTTCTCAAACTGTAGCTTCAGTCCACGAATGTAGCAAATTACTGTCTGAACCATCCAATCAGCAATACTCGTGACCCTCAGTTCATTTTAATGTACATAAATATCTCTTTATTTACACTTCAGAAAAACTCCATTCATATAAAAATAGTACTGTACCTATGTACAAACTGAATCTTTCGAATGGATGTGAATTGTAGAGTGTACAATATATGGAAAGGATGAAGAATTAAGCAATCATTCTGGACAGATAAAAGCTACTTCACAAATGGCAGATATTTGTTAGCATAGCAACAGTCCTTCCCCAAACGGAATCTGAAGTTGTATTATTCAACAAAGATGCGTCTTTAATTAAGGTCACTGAATCAAAGTCACAATTTGCTCCACATTTTTTGTGAGACTTGATGGTATGCACTGACATTCCTTTTGCCAGTGATCTCCCTTTTAAATAGGGAGGAAAATACTAAAATCCACTCCAGCAGTGCTGGATGTGAGCCTCCTTAGTTGAAGTTGAATTTAAAGTTAAAGGGTCCAGAACCAAATGGATTGAAACCCTGGAAGCCGTGGAAACCTCCATGGAAGTTATGATGATGGTGACCCTGCTGGCTCTCTGGATCCATGGGGTCCTCCCCATGATCAAACTTGGTTCTTTTCTCTAGAAAAACATGCAGATTGACACGTCAGTACAGAACAACTCAATAAAAAAATATGTGCTCATGTATAGCTTTTGAATTAGAAATTAAATGACTCTAGGAACTTCTTAGTTTTCTTTTTATTATTGCCCAGAAATAATATCTACCACTGTTTGGACTGTGAGAAAAGCTTTCTGCAACGCTTCAGAATTGCAATTCTTCAAACATTTTTAGCTCAGCCAATCAGCTCCACACATTCAATCAAACATTTAGTTTGAGCTATTGGATTGAAGATGGTTCAGTGAAGATATAATTCCGAAAAGATTTAGTTACGGTCGTTTGAGGATGATGCAGCTTTAGCCTAAACAATGCTCAAAGGGACAACTTTTGTGAAGGTCTGTCAGAGTTATGATAGAGAACAGTTATCATAGAGGACTTAGAAGTGCACTTGGCTCATGAGGTTTGAGTTTTTTCACCTGGAGCCCTAAATTTGATTAGTTTATTCTGGAAAATGTGGGTATTATGAATTTCATGAGCAGTTTTTTGTTTGGTTAGTTATTGCAGGAATTAAGCTAAATTGTAAGCTCTCCAAAGTGGTGATGGTTTTGTTCTAAGAATTGCAATGCATGAAGGAAAAACTCAAACATGAGTGTCAACAGAGATTAACTTGTAAAATGTGAATGTGACCTACAACAAATATTCCAGTTTTTATTGATTAATCAAATGAGTTGTGGTAGATATGTTACACTAGCAAAATATGGGCTGTTGGAAACATCAATGTTGAAAAAATGTTTATACATACACCACAATAGGGTTCTGTAAGCTGGTTTGGATGAAACCATTTTACTGAAACAGTAATGGCACACAGTAGAGAAAGTCTCAGGCTACTTGAAGAAAGAAGTAAGTAGAGAGTTTTTTTTTTTTTTTTTCCTTCAGTAGCTCCTCAGAGGTCTGACATTTACGGGGAAACTGGTGGTAACAACTTTCCCCACACTCTGCGGACCACACACTTCTTACCTGGGTCAGTGAGAACCTCTTTAGCCTGAGCGATGTCTATGAACTTCTTTTCAGCCTTCTTCTTTTCCTCTGGATCCTGGAAATTGTCCGGATGCCACTGTTGTGCCAGTTTCCTGTAGGCTTTGATAATCTCCTTTTTCTGGGCAGTTCTGTGATCATGGGGAGAGTATTACCAACACATTTACTGAAGATAAGAACAGCTTCTCTCCTTATCTTATTTTTTTATTTATTTATTTTTTTTTATATAAGCTGGCCCTAATAATACTCTCTAAGTGTCAGGGTTAGCACACAAGCTCCCATGTAATAAACCATTACTTTTTATAACCATGAGTGCTTCCATTGCCTTAAATTTGATTTCCATCTTAAACTATCAGTAGTGCTCTTAACATCAAAATGCTCAAAAGGGATATATTATATAACATTCACATGCAGTAGGGCTTTCTTTGGAGCACAGTGGTTATTCAATGTCTGAAACTAACTGAAAACCACAATCTGACCACAAAACATAAACTGCTCTCTGATGGAACACACTTGTAAAATACCCCAATTCTCCTCGATTTCCCCTGGGGAATCTATGAAATTCCCTGTCTGGAATACACCTTTAAAAAAATAAAATAAAATAAAAAACATCCCATCAAGTTTACAAATAATGATCAGCGCCCACCTCTTCACCCCCAGGATCTTATAATAGTCCCTCTTCTGAGACTGTTTGAGAAGTCGCTGAGCTCTGTCCATGCCTTCTTTAATCTGACGGTCGTTCTCGCTGTGTTTGGCAGCAGTCTCATAGTCCTTAATGGCTGGAAAATAAAAATGCAGGATAGAATCAGTATTGCTGTCACATACAAAAACAGCTAATGGGAAGTGTAGCACACAGTATTACAGTATTCATTTGAATGCAACAGACCTTGTGGCAAGCATCTGCCCTTATCAAGTGTCTTTGAGCAAGGCACTGAATCCTTCAGTGTCATGAGGTTATGTTATGTGTGCGAGCCTCCACGCAGATGATGAGCCAAACAAAAAACACATAAGAATTCACAGGGATCACCTGACAATAATTCCCTATTGTTGCTTACTGAGACTTTTGTTAAAGATGTGCTCATCTGTATGGAAGTGAGGGATGCAATTCTTAATACAATCAGCAGTCATGATCAAAAAAAAAAAAAAAAAAAAATACTACCATTGCCAGAATCATATAAACACAAACCCAACTTTTTTTTTTTTTTTTTTTTATAAAGTCTTTCATTTCTGCATCACCTCTACAAACATCTGAAAGTGCTTGATCTTGTACTATAGTCTTGTGAACCACTTTATTCATTCAGTAAGCCCCATCACTTTCAGATCATGTTGCAGCATCTCCAGGCTGTTTGTGCGTGCACGTTTGGGTGCTTTAGGGCTTGTTAACCCTGTGTGGTGTACCGAGGTGAGTTTTAACACCCATGGATTCTGACACTTTAAAAGCCTGTGCGAGGTCTGGCGTTCCCACCTGCTGATGTGCTCATGCTCAGCCAGCACCTCCTGCGGTTGCAGAGCTGATGGGGTCTTAGTGAAGGATGTTATTACCTGCTTGGAGGGCTGGTGGTGTTAATTGTGGGTTTAATTGGACGTGTGTGCGATTTTTTTTTTTTTCATTTTTTGTTAGAGACTTGTTTTGCATCTAAAATAGAAAGTAAAACCATATTTTTGGGTGTAACACTATAGATGGGAGTCAATTACATGGACTAAATGAAAACTGACATTGAGCTTTAATACGACTCCTTTATCTCTTTTTATAGCTGCTATTTTCTTTGTGTGTGTGTTGACATTTTGCATTTAACACTTCTGTGAGCTGTTAGCTGAGATAAAAACTAAATAACATCACTGTCGCACTAACCTCAAGTGCATCTTAAGTGCTCAGTGACACAGCTAGTGGCTTTAGCTTTTGATGATTTTATAAATAGATGTATCACTTATTTTCTTCTTTAAAAGATCCATAAACATGGTGTAACATTTAGCTCATCAGACAAGAGAGGGCTTGTGTAGCACTGGCCAAAGTGCTGAGGTCCTTTCCTCGCCTGTGCCAGTTTTCTATTTTGGTGACTTACGCCACAATGGG